CTCCTGGGTCCTCAGATGAACAGAAATCATGGACCCGTCTCTGCTGTCCCTTTTGTTTGGCCAGTGGGCTTTTTTCCCTCTGAATCATCGCAGGGCGTGGTTCAGTGTGGCTGGGTGGTTAGATGTTGGGAGAGTATAAGGAGATGGGGCTGGAGTTGAGGGCCAGATCCTGGGACACTGGTTATGTCTTGCCCCCAGTTGTGGCTCCAGGGGTCACAGATTTCATCCTTGTCAGGAGCTCAGCAGACGAGATAAGTATGAGTGATGTGGGCCAACTCTGGAGCTTTGTTCCACTCTCCCTGCATTTCAGACTTGTATGAAGAATTCCTTCCATAAAGAATTGTCCCTTCTCTTGAAGCCCAAGTGCTCAGTTATCCTCATTTTCTGAACTCTGATGAGGACATGGGCACAGTATTGATGGTACCGCTGGGGATGGCAATAAACAGTGACAGGCAGTTGGCCTCAGCCTGCGAATCAGGGAGACAAGAGGGAGTGGTGGGGCCTGTGGCGAACTGGCCAGCTCAGACCCCATGTGGGAACAAGGGCTTGAGTGTGGTGGAGCAGCCAGAACTCTGGACTTTTATGTGAAATCATGTTGTTCGGCGTCAACTCCGGATTTTAAAATCCGTACCGCTTTTGCTGAACAGAATACATTTGTGGGCCACCAGTTTGCAACCTCTGTTGTTGACTGAGCTCTGCATTAATATGCTCGTGTGGAAGGAAGCCAGGCTAGCCGCCCTGAGGACCTGCCTACCGGGGGGGGGGGGGGTCCGTCCCCACAGGAGGGTCAGCTCGGTACCAGAGACAGTCTAGCTTTCTGGGAACAGGCCTGCTTCGACTAAGAAGGGGCTTCGGAGGGTCAGTGGGGCCTCTCTCCCGCTCCCTCTAAGCAGCTTTCCTCAGAGGGCAGGGGAAAGGGCGGGGAGGGGTGGGGAAGGGGCAGCCCCCCCCGCCCCCCGCCAGCGCGCTCTGCCCTTAACGGTGTGTCTGCTGTGCCTTCCAGTCTCCGTCTGCTGCTGCCTCTTCATCCTCTTCCTGTTCCTCTCGGAGCTCACCGGCTTCGTCACGACGGAAGTGTAAGTTCCAGGCCCCCCTGGGGCATTTTAGAGCTTTCTGGGACCCCAGATGAGAGGAGGGAGGGGCTTTAAAAAGGAGAGAGACCTCTGAACCTTCCAGCTCTCTCATTTCCAAGCCCGCGGCATCCATCACTCCTCTGTTTCTTAAAAGGGTTTTGAAGTTCGAGCAAAAGCAAACACTTTTATTGAAGCCAAAGAGAACATTCGGGTTCCGTTCTGTGGGGGGGGCCTCCTGGGTCCTCAGATGAACAGAAATCATGGACCCGTCTCTGCTGTCCCTTTTGTTTGGCCAGTGGGCTTTTTTCCCTCTGAATCATCGCAGGGTCATTTGATGTGAAAGCTGGAGCAGTTCAGAGAAACGGGGGGCAGCTTCCTAGCCGAGGGGGGCGGGGCTGCTGACGTCAGAACCCAGCCCCCTCAACTAAGCCCCCTTCCCTGCTCGGAGGCCCACACTCAGTGAGGAATCAGCGTGGGCTTCCTGGCAGCGCTTGACACATTGTAAATCGATGCCCGATTTCTAGAATCATCCTTTGCCCAGATAACCGGTTGTAAATGCTCTGGGGTATGTGTAACACAGAATGCCATTGGGATTATTCAGGCACGCATCATCGGCTGCCCTGAGGTGGAATTAGACCCCAGAGCTTCATGCCTCGGCCACTGGCTCAAGGCTTCCAAGCCTCTTCATTCCTGTGTTTACAACCCAGAAAGTCATCATGGGGCTGGGCCCTGGCCGCCCACTCCCCTCTCCAACATGGGAATTTTCTTTCTCGCTCATGGAATTTCTTGGTTTCCTTTGCCTCCCTCTCAGCAACAAGACAATAGGAATGGAAAAACATAGTTGCTCAGCCCAAGACAGGCCTCGTAGCTTCGGAAGTGTTACCACCTTTAATCCTCAAACAGCCCTGGGATGTACTTGCCTCCTTACAGATGAGGAGAACTGAGGCTCAGAGAGGTGGAGGGACTTGCCCGTGCTCATACACTGAGGAGGGGGCTCCCGAGGTCCGCCAGTCTCCTGAGCCCACAGGTGTGTCAGTCTTGTCTTTTCCCCACCACCACCCGCCAGCCAAATCATGTCGTTCCTGCCCTCCACTGGTTTAGGACAGTTTGCCTTCCCTGTCCCTCTGATCCTATTCTTAACCCTGATGGCACCAAAGTCCAGGGGGTCTCATGGAGTGGTGGAAAGAGCTTTGGACAAGGCATTGGGAGACCCAGGGCCAGGCCTCTGCTTGATTACCACTTTGCTATGTGACCCTGGGCAGGTTACCAAACCTCTCTGGCTCTCAGTGTTGCTGGCCAAACAAAGGGTACACCAGAGTCAAAGCTTCCAGGTCTGGGGAGGTTTGTCTGCTTCCCAAGACATGTGACCCCCCCCGACCCTGCAGGGGTCAGAGAAGGTTCTTTGTCCCACTCAGCTCCTAATGGGGGGTGGCTCTGTGCATATTTGGACCACTGGATGTCTCAGGGGTCACCCCATCATGAGTCGGAGTTGGAAACAGGGACAGCAGCAAGATATTAAGACCTAATGTGTGCCATTCACCTACTGGTCTTTCCAGGCTGCACCCCATTCCCTGGTGGGGGAGGCAGCTGCTGTACAACCCCCTCATGTTCTGAGCAAGGTGAGTAGGGTACATGTGTGACAGCAAGGAAGGAGCCCCAACTGTATCCCAGGCACCAAGGAGGGCTTATATATTCCAAACAGGGCCACTAGGAAGTGCGAAGGCCCTGAGGCAGGCATTACCTGGTGTCTGTGCAGAGCAGATAAAGAGCTGATGTGGCTTTGGAGCAAAGTGAGCAAGTGGGGAAGATAGAATATGGAGTAGGTAGGACCAGGTTGGACGAGGTCCTGCTCGCTGTTGTGTATTAATGGGACTCATTCTTGGTTCTGAGCTCCCAGAAGTCAGAAACCGGGTCAGCCTCATTCGTTGCTGGGTGGTTCCATGCTCAGAGGAGCTGAAAATGCCAACAGTGGACACAAACCATGAACAAGTGAGCAGAACTAGACTATATCAATTAGTGAAAAAGGCTCTGAAGAAAAAAAAAAAAACACAGGGCAGGAGACAGAGAAGGTATGTGATATTTGGTGAGGTTTAAATAAGATTATTTACCAGAAAGGTACTTAATGTAGCACCTGATATACTTTAATATCCATGGATCCATAGCTCTTCATGCATTTATTCATTTCATATTTATTTCCCATCTAATGCTAAAAAGGTAAGGCCACCCAACACCTGCCGTTTAATGAACATTCCATGAATGTTAATTTTCTCGTCCCCTCCCCTGAGCTGAGAACAGCCTCCTTCACCTCCTGCTGACATTGTGAGGGGCAGCTTATTTAGCTGTTTGTCAGCTCAGCCCACGGTGAGGAAGGGTGCTGAGCCAGTGGGCCCCAGACAGGTAAGTTGTGATGTCAGAGCTTGTGACCGAAGCAGGTGGGGCTGTGTTACGGGCCACTCGGGCAAGCCTAGACAGCTTGTTCTGTTTAACCAGGACAGGGCTCACTCCTTGCCCAAGAGCACAGTGTGTTCCTGCTGCTCTGCCTTCTGCCCTGCTCCAGGATTTCCCCTTCCTGACTCCTGGGGCATCCTGGACACTCTGGTCCCAGCACCTCCCTGGAGAGGAAGAAAGATGAGGGGTGAGTGGAGTAATCAGACTGTAGGGCTGTTCGAGGTGTGTTTACCTTTTGTCCTCTGCTAGGCTCTTCATTTGCAATGTGAGTGGCTGGAGGGATGGAGGGAGACAGGAATGAGAGAGACCTGTGTGTCTGGAGCCCAGGGTCCAGAAGCCCCATCTGTCATGATGCAGGGACCCTTATGCCCCCTCTCCCCCCGCTGCCACGTGACCACGGTGTAGGAGTGCCCAAAAGGAGTCTGTAGGGGTGAGGACTGAGGACTCCACAGAAAAATCCAGAGGAAAAAGGATTGTTCTGGTCTTCCTGCTATCAGAAGCTTCTCTGACCCCTGGGAAGGCCTGCCACTTTGGGAAGAAATGAAGGTCACAATTCTTCTTTAATGGATGGCTGGCCCTCCCTGGCAGTTTTGTGACCACAGTGGGGCAGCCCCCCCACCCCCACCCCATGAGATCGTATCCCAAGGAAATGAGGTCACTGCTGGTAGGAACAACATTGCTCCAAACCCGACCTGTGGTTATCAGTGACATAAGACACTATTCTGGCCCAGCCCGGTGGGGAAAGGAGGCCTGTTTGTTTGGGTGGTTGGACTCTAACCTGGGCTTTAGACAGGCCATTAATTACCCTTGGGAAAGTGGCCCCATAGGGTGCTCTGCAGCTTCAGGTTTCCAGGGGAGCAGCCGCCGCCCCCTCCTCAGACAACGTGGCTGCAAAACATTCCAGCCTTTGACTGCCCAGGCTTGGCTGCTCTTAATTATTAACCCGATGAGGATTTGTAATAAGAAAGCGTAGTAACTGGAACTCTCCACTGATAATATATAGTATAATACATGTGTTATACTTTCTAGTTACAATTTATAATGGGCAACCGCGTGCCCGCCAGCCACCTAGGTTAGCACTTTACAGGGATCATCTCGTTTAATCAACACAGAATCCCTTGAGGGAGGTTCTCCTGTTAGCCTTAGGCCCACTGTACAGCTGGGGAAACTGAGGCACCGGGAGGCTCAGGCCACAATGGGGTTAGTAAGTGGTGGAGCCAGAGTCAAACCCAGGTCCATCTGATGCCAGAGCCCAGCCTCGGCACCCCTGCCCTGTCATACCACCCTTTTCTGCCCAGAGCATTTTGGGTCCCCAGGTGCATGGGAGCTGCTGCCTTTTGGTCAGAATGTTTGACTGGAAGACTTGGATACACGCTTCCAGGGTGAGGTGGCCGAGCAGGCAGTCAGAACTCCAGGAAACCGTTGCCCACCTAGTGGGAACTTGGAGGTTACCTTGAACTGTGTCCTTACATGCTCCATAGCAGGCCCCTTAGTGGGGAGGCCAGGAGCTTAACCAGGAGGAGGACCTGGCCATCTCCTTCAGAGCCCAAGTTACCCACTCTGAGGCCTGCGTTGGGAGCTAGGGCCAGGTAGAGAGACCCAAGATTGTCGTGTGAAGGAGCGCTGGTGGGCCTGAAGGCTTCCGAGCGTGGAGTGACTGGACCAGGTTCATGCTGCAGCACGATCACCTCTTGTGAAGGTGAACTGGCAGCAGGGTGACCCTGGAGGGCAAGGCCCTGGGGAAGAGATTGGGCGATGGCAGTGGAGAAGGGGGTGGGGGCAGGACTCGGTGGATTTTTGGGCCCCCCACCTGGTAGGGAATAGGTAGGAATACTTATTTATACGTGGAATGGTCAGGATTTAAAAGAAGGTCCTGGGGAGCTTGCTTGCATAACGTACATCCCTCCCCTTCTAGCCTCTGTGGGCCTCACTGCTGTGTAAGTTTCCATTAAATCAAATTATTAAGCACAGAGGTCAGCGACTTTGGGCAGGAATCTGAACTATTCAAGTGCTCTTCTAAAAGCAAATAAAATTGTTTTCCATAGATGTCATCGGACTCACGCCTCAGCCTAGAATTTCAGGGCCCTTGGTTACATTCCACCTTCGCTCTCCCCACCCATACACCTCCCCAGTCCCTCTCACTCTCTCCCTACATGGCCACCGCTCACTGACCCCCACGCAAGCCAGCCGGATCCCTGACGCCGTGTGGTGTCCCCCAACTGGAATGCGCCCCCCTCTGCTCCACCGGCACATGTTGCTTACGTCCCCCATTCATTCTGCAGAGGTTGTGATCTCGTGCTCTGTGCTCCTGGCTCGGGGAGCCCTGGTCCCACTTGGCTGGGGAGTCAGATGTGGCAGTCCGCCAGGGTGTGGCCGATGGAGGTGACCAAGGGAGGCTTGTGGGGCACAGATGGAATGGTCCCTTTACACCTCCATGCCCTGTGGGTACTTGGGCCATGGGTGGGGATGGGGTGGGCTTCTGAAGGTTATCAGAAAGATGACACCTGCATCACAGGTCTGCCTGGGGACACTTGCCTCTCAGTTTTTCATTGATT